AAAAGTTTTGTTATCAAATGGTTACAAATTAAAGATTTGTGACTGTTTTGTACTAAGTGCAAAGGTTTGTGACCATTTATGCTAATTACCCATTTTATATGTTTTGTTTGTCTCCAGAGATAATAAGAAAACTTTTCCAAACCGGTTTGACAACTTTTTTTTTTTTTTTTGGCAAAGGTAGTATGTATTAGATAGGGAATTATAGATTGTTAAAAAATAGATAGCGGAAATCAGCCAAAAGCTGATTAGCCGATGCAAGAGCTGTTTTCGCCACGCAATGGGCAGCCCTGTTAGTTCTACGAGGAGAAAATACAAAACGAATAAACGCGAAGGATTCTTGCATCTGCCGGACTTCTTCCAATATCGCTCCCCCACGATTGTGGTCTTGTCGCGCCTCCGAAGCTCGCCGAATCACCGTTTGGGAGTCCCCACAGAAACAAACAGAGGAAAGGCCCCGAGTTAAGCACCAGTCCATTGCATCCCGTAATGCTAACAGTTCCATAATGAATGGATCAAATAAGCCAGAGTAGTACTTACCGTGCGCAAACGAAATTACCCCGGCCGATGCGAACCCCACGAATCCTACGCTGCCACCGACCTCCTGCCGTGTAGCTCCATCAAATCTAACCAGGAAACCGCCTGGTGGGCAATAAGGTTCGAGCTGCTGATGATTTTGCCCCGGCTGACAGGGCAACGCACTTGCTGGGGACGTGGTTGCTGCTGTCCATTCCTCTCTTTGGTGCTGAAATTGCCGAAACAGAGGCCCGGGAAGATACTGGATGTGGTCATAGCAGGACCAGCAGCGCGCTTTCCATATCCGCCATGTTAGGAACACGATTTCCGCCATTTCTAATTTACTGAGGTGTCTAGAGGTTAACACTTGTACCCAGGCCTCGTGGGTAGGTAGCTCTGCTAACTCCTCCCTAAGCTGCGCTTTCCCCGCCAACTCCCAGACTCCACGCGCGATCCTGCAATCAAAAAGACAATGGGAAATTGATTCCATCCCATCCGAGCACACAGGACACAAAGCAGATTCGCAGAGCTTCTTTGTGTGCAGTAGGGTGGGCATTGGGTGGGTCGGGTGGATTTTGAACATAAAATGCACCCACCCGCGCTTAAACGGATTGATAATTTTTAACCCATCACCCACCCACATTTAGTCTCGGGTTGGGTCGGGCGGATGGTGGATGATGCGGGTGGGTTTGTGGGTTCACCCACATCACAATGTATATAATATAAATGTGTCAATTTGACATGATAATAGGTGAAGAGAATCATCGAGGGAAACAAGAAGTTGAAATAGGGGGAAAAATGTCGAATTAGTTCTTAAATTGGATAGAAATTCTATTATGAAAGAGTTTTCTACAGACTGAGATGATTATTAGGTGCAAGAAACTAAGAAAAATAATTCCACAAAGGAAAGAGCAGTGATCTAGGCACAAAAATAAGAGGAAAAAGTAAAGGGAAGAAGAGGGGATCTCTATTTGGAAGGTTGGCTTTGAGGTTCAAATTCCAGGAGCAGTCCGAGTTTATATCTAACGTCTCCACTCTCCTCTCTTTAGCGCCAACGACTTTGATCTTTTTGCTGTTGGGTTGAGCGGGTCACCCGCACACTCACCCACAACCCACCCACCACCCGGCGGATGGCTCCCAACGCAACCCGTCACCCACCCACAGACCCACCCATTTAACGAAATTCGGGTCAAATGCGGGTGGGTCGGCCCAAACCCGCGGATGATCCGCCCGCATGCCCAGCCCTAGTGTGCAGCACGGATTGGCACGGCAGGAAGCCCCTGACTACTCGCCACAAAAACACACGCAATTTTGGAGGGACAGGTAAACTCCAAAGAATTTTCCAGAACCTGTTATCCAACGAAGAAGGAAGATTGTTAAATAAATCAGCACGTTCATCCGATAACAAATGGTATCCCGATTCGACAGTATACTGGCCGGATTCCGAGTAGTGCCAAATAAGACGGTCCGGCTTGGGAGATAAAGGAATCGGAATTGCCAAAATCCATTTAATGCTGTCAGGGGTGAAAAGGGCTTGAAGGAGGTCCTGGTTCCACGCTCTCGTCAACGGATTAATGAGGCAAGCAACAAAGGGGTTAGGAAGCGAAGTACCTGGAAGCAGGGAAGGGGAAGATGGGGGAGTAGTGGGCAGCCATAGGTCATCCAGAATCCTGATGGCTGTTCCACAACCTACCTGCCACCGTAGTCCTTTGAGTAGCAATCTTCTCCCTTCGAGGACCCCTTGCCATGCCCAGGATGGGCGGTTTCCTGTTGGGGCTCGAAGGAACTCACAAGTGGAGTGGTAGCGCGCTTTGTACAATTGGGCCAGTGTTGATGATGGAGATTGCAACAACTTCCAAGCTTGTTTCGCGAGCATCGCTACATTGAAGAGGTCGAAGTCCCTGAAGCCCAGGCCCCCTCGAAATTTACTAACACAGACAGCCGGCCATGAAATCCAGTGCATCCCTCTGTCTTTGTCCTGACTAGCCCACCAAAACCTCGAAAGCTGACTATTCATCCGACGACAAGTGGTGGTGGGGAGTCGGAACGAGAGCATCGCGTACACTGGGATGGCAGAGCCAACTACCTTGATGACCACCTCTTTCCCTGCTAAGGACAGCGCCTTGGATTTCCAATTCTGAATGCATTGAGCCAATCCATCCTCGAGGAATCTAAAGGTCTGTACCTTGGAGCGATGAATCTGTGCTGGCAATCCCAGGTAGCGGTCCAGTTCTCCAATCGAATCAACCCCCAAGGCAGCAGCTAGCTCCGAAGCTTCTTGAGCCGTCACATTTGAACTAAAGCACACCTTTGATTTCTGAAGGTTAATCTTCTGCCTGCTGGCCGTCTCATAGAGGTTCAAGAGCTGCAAAAGTTGCGAGCATTCTTGTCGGATGCCCCGTTCCGGGCGGAAGTAGCCATGTGTGTGTCCATTCAGCTGTACAGAGAAGGACACAGTGGTTACACAAGCCTTTATTAGCTTTATCCATCTAGCATCAAATCCTAACGCCTCCATGACACCAAATAAGAATCCCCATTCCACGCGGTCATACGCCTTCTCCATGTCTAGTTTTAGTGCCATCCACTTATCTCTACCTTGATTCTTTGTCTTCAGAAAGTGCATGACCTCCTGAGCAATAAGGATGTTATCCGAAATGTCTCTGCCTTTAACAAAGCCATTTTGGGCAGCACTCACTACTGACGGAAGTACCTGGCTCAAACGGTTAGACAAAACCTTAGAAATAATCTTATAAAAGACCTGGCAAAGTCCTATGGGTCTCATCTATTTCATCGAGTCGGCATTAGGGACCTTTGGAATCAGAGTAAGCTACACAAACAGACCAAGTGAACGGGGGGCCTACAAATCCTAAGTCTTGGAGACCTGCAGAGTTAATGAAAGACTGAAATTGTTCAACCATGGAGAAGGGAGGGGGGCGGCCTCCCTGCTTCTCCGAGGCAAATAGGACACAATTAAAGTCGCCTAACACTAAGACAGGGGAGACACTCAACGAGATCAAACGGAGCAGTTCATTGAATTGGGAAGCACGAATATGTACAATGGAACTAAGATGCACAAAGAACAAAGCTAAATTCCCCCATACTATATGCTGTAGCTCCGCAAGGATATAGAACGCATCCTTATCTAACACTGAACACTGAACAGCAGGGGCACAAGCTAGAGCTAACCCCCCCGATAACCCTACTGGAGACACGCAACATACTACATTATATCCTAAACGATTCAGTTTTTTATTTACATAATCATCCTCTCTCTTTGTTTCACTCAAGCAAAGGATTGAAGGAGAAAAGCGGCACACAGCTCCAAACAGTGATGGAATCGTCAGGGCGGAACCTAACCCTCGACAATTCCACGCGATGATACTCATCTGGGATCATGGGACCAGTTAGGGCTGGTTGCCTCCACCACTTCGTTGTTGTCTGCAGCAATCAAGGAGGGATCCTCCTCAAGTCTATGTTTCTTCCACTCTGGTCCATCGATCATCAAGTCTCGGTCCCCCAGTCGGCCTTGAGCAGGGATTGGGGTTGTATGGCCTCCTTCAGATGGGGCTGCTGCCGGAGAGCAAGGCTCAGGGAACCGGTCCGGTGCTGGGAGCATCAGATGAGCACTCTGTCGACCCTGCGAGGGTGATGGGGCCAGTTCAGGTCGCACCCAGGTGAAGTTCCGACGGCCTAGCAGACTCCGTTTGTTCACTTTGGGACCAGATTTCTTGGAGATCAGGTGCCTGCCGAACGGGGATGGTTTGCCTGCAAGTTCATCCCGGCGAGAGCACTGCTGGCCAATGTGGCCAAGCACTCCACACAAATAGCAAAATTGTGAGAGTTTTTCGAACTTCACAGCAGCAGTAAATTCCCCCCTACCTGACTTTTCATGGGACGCCGGGACTGAGACCGGGAGAGGGAGACGGGAATCCAGCCACACCCGAGCTCGCAGATAGATCTCCGCCGTTTCCTTCGCGCGGTGAACCTCGCCAGGGTCGGTCTTCCCCAGGTAAGCACCAAGGAGGGTGCCCATTTTCCTTGAGCAGCACGATGATGGAACCCCCCAGAATTGCAAGAAGTGAGGCACTCGCCACATCTGTTCAGCCCCTTCAGCAGAAACCGCTACCCACGGGGCCAAGTTCACCAGATACTTGGGCAAAATCCAGGGGGCCAGTCTAAGAACACGATTCATATCCGCGTCGGTTGGGAAAACGAATTGCAGTAGGTCGCCCTCCGCCGGAAGAATTGAGATCGAGCCGGAGCAGTTCCAGAGCCCACCCAAAGTGACAAGTAACTGTCGAATTGGTGGCGACGGACCAATCACCTTCCCGAGCAGAGACCTTTCGTTTCGCTCAACCCCTGGAGCGACATCAGCATCACCGAAAACTACAACCCTAGCCTCTGCCATCGCGAATAGATCTCGATTGAAATGGAAGCTTGGAAAGGAGAACCACGCAGCAGAATGAAGAGTACTGCAAATCAACGCCATGGGGAGGGGATTATATAGGCCCATGGAGCCCCTGTCTTCCCCGTCGGCGCACTACGCCGGGGACTCGCACTCGGCGATGCGCACGACGGCGCTAACCACGCTCCCACTCGTCGCAACCAACCGCGCAGAGAGAGGGGAGAGGTTTTTTTTTTTTTTCCAATCAACGAGGTCTTTCGGATAATAATAACCCGGTTTGACAACTTTATAAAGTCAAATTATTATTATACCATGTCAGGGTCGGGTCAAAACCCTAAAAAAGCCAAATGACCCGCGCGGCCGCGCCCTGACCCCTGTAAAAATTCACGAACAGCGCAAACCTGTTCTCCATTTCCTTATCGACTGAAAAAGAAAATCCAAGTTTCACCCTAAAATCTCGACCGTCTCTCGGCGGCCGCCGTCCGGTTCCGAGCTTAAGGACGCCGCCAGATTTCCTTCATCGTCGGCAACGAGGCGTTGGAGAAGAGGCACTCCACCACCGACATCGATGGCCGATCCTCGTCGCTCACCGGAAAGGTATACTGTTGTGAAGATTCCGTCGGAGGAGCGTCTGACATTTTCAAACCTCGCCTATTGCTCAGCGGCCGACCATGGGAAGATGTTCGGTGGACATGGCGAACCATTTTTGGTCGCCATTAATGGCGACGGCCATCTCTTTTCTCTGCAATATCCTTTTATTGAGTTTTCTTGAATGGCTCTTCCCGTTTTCTTTTTAGTCTACTGTGTTTGTGGCCTTTAATTGCATTTAAGCCTCTTGATAGTCTTAGGACGGGGGAGATTGCACTCAATGGTAGTCAGCGTAAATGGGCTGCCGCCAATCTCGGCGGACGAGTGACGGTTTCCAGGTATTCCTTCTTTTCCGTGACCGGATATTGTTACTACGATCGACTTCATCTGAGTGTTCCGTTTCTGTGTGCAGATATCAGCCTCCAGCTGATACTGCTAGCTTCAACCTGGTATTCTTAGCGCTTGATTTGACTACTAGCCTCACTATACGAAAAGCGACCGAGGTATGTTTGGATTAATTCTCTTTCATATCGTTTAAAGTTTCTTTAGATTGATATGTTTGCTGTTTGCTCTATAGCTTAAGGCGGATGAGTTTGGACGATATCTCAAGAACCGCTATTCAGGGCAGGTAAATTGGTGTATTAGGTTATATTAGGTCATAGTTTCTCATTTGATGCAACACTTCACATCCTTCCTGCATTATTTCTTTCTCCGCCCAGGTGATTTCACCGGGTCAAATAGTGTCAACTCGCTTCGAGAACATCAAGTATGCGTGTAGGGTGACTCTGTCTATTGGGGCTGATCACATGAACCCACAAGGTTTCCTATCTAGAGATACTAACATCGCCTTTGAGGCAGCTGCTGGTCGCATTAAGGTTAACTTCTGACAACTGTTTCAATCCCTCAATGTTTGCTTTGTTTTACTTTATTCTGCCATTTGGATCTCATTATCTTGTGTCAAGGGCCAATTTGATCTATCTAACTGGATTCTGTTATACTACAGATTGTAAATCAAGATCCCAGACCTCCACCAATCATTAAGGATACGATTGATTTGAAAAGAATGGGTATTGGTGGTCTGAGCCACCAGTTAAGAGATCTATTTCGTAGGATTCTTTCTACACGAGCTTGCCCGCTTGCATTGAGAAGGAAGTAAATGACTATCAAACTTACACAATAAAATATTCTGTTATCAGCATTTTTGTTCTCTTGACTAATTACAATGTTATTATACTCTAGCATTGGGATTCGCAATGTCAGAGGCATGCTACTTTTTGGTCCTCCGGGGAATGGGAAAACTATGATTGCTCGTAAGGTTGCAAATTTGCTGAATGCAAAAGTGCAGGTGTGATCAGTTGATCCTTATATTTTTCGCATATGCAAATAGACTTTGTAGCTACTTAAATTAGGAGTTTCTCTCAAGTCAATGAAGCAACCCTCTGAATTGACTTGTATTGTTTTAATTGAATTTCATATCTAGACTGTTAGTGGTCCATCTCTTCTGGATCCATACTTCGGTACGACAGAAAGGAACGTACGAGAATTGTTTGAACCTATCATAAAGGACCAGGTCAAGCTTGGTGAGGCTCCTCTCTGTCTACAGATTTACCTTTTTTCAGGATAATGTGATTCCTGTCTTTTAACTTCGGGGCAATTTTTCTTTCAGGAGAAAAAAGTCCATTGCATGTGATAATCTTTGACGAGTTCGATGCGATAGCGATGGTATAACACTTCCTTACTTAGCTGCTTGCAATTGTTTTTGTTAGCTAAGGTTTAGTATTGACTTCTGCAGAAACGAGGAAGGTCTAGTGGCTCTGGACACACTGACATTATGGTTAATCAGTTGCTTACAATGGTAAGGGGAGAGTATTAATTATTCAATTTACTAATAAATGTGTACAAACTGTCCAACTACTGATCATATCTATGTCGCTGTGAATGTTGATTCTACTATTGTGAATGTTAGATGGATGGGCTGACCCCTCTGGACAATCTTTTAGTCTTTGCAACCACTAACCGTAGGGATCTTATTGACGAAGCATTTCTCAGGTAAATCTTTCTCTTTCAGATGCATCATTTTGATATATTGGTCTTGATAGAGAGGAAATATCCTCTGATATTTCAGCAACCACCACTACTTTACCGTTGCTGTATTGTAGCTAATAGTTGCTGAGTTTCAGCATTCTGTTACAACCACTCTCCTCCATAATAGCTAGAAATCGTTATTTACAATCTGTATAAATGTAAATGGTTCAATAATACAACAAATGGGATTTCCATCCTCACTTACATGGTATCAGAGCCCCAAATTTCCTCTAACGAGGGACTCTGCTTTCTTCTTATTATTGGTCTTTATCATGTTTTCCGAGCCCCTATCCTCCACAGAGGCAATCTGAATTGTCTCTTTTCTTCCTCTTCTTCTCAGCGTCTGTGTCTTTCTTACCTTCACCTCTCTTTTCTATTATGCAAAATGACGACTTCCTACACCACACCATCCTCTGCTGCTCTGTTTATTGCTGACTATGATGGTGGCTTCACGCAGCTAAAGCTTAGCTGCTTTTGCGTCTTCTTCTTGACCTTAGCCGTCTTGTCCTTGCCCTTCAACTATTAGATCAGCAAACCAAAACCCTTCAAAAGTTTCCAATTCCCCAACCCTAAAATATCCAATAATGATAACTTCTCTTCTTCTGCGTCTTCTTCCTAATTACATTATGCTCCTTGCCCTTCTCTCCTTCTAGCTTCTCCCTGTGTGTCACTTCCTCTACTTATCTTCTCTTATTATCCCCAACCCTTTTCCTTTCTATTCTTCCACTTCCACATAATCCTCTCATACCCCTGCTTCTGTTCCTCTTTCCGTATTCTATTTCCTTATTCTACCATACGACAACCATAGCTCCCAAATGAGATAAAGGGCTTTTGCCATTACCAAGTCCTTGGGCCGGCATTGACAGGTCTATTACATTGTCATACGCAAGTGACCAGGGATCGCCAAGAAGCAACTTCGAGCTCATTACCTACCGCTACCAGAACAACTTCAGACGTCCTCATCAAATCATTGGCTCGACTCCCCTTTCATTAATTCTGTTTCAAGTTTCACCTCTCCAAGGTTCCACTTGCGAGGGCGTGATAGAGAGGAAATATCCTCTGATATTTTGGCAACCACCACTACTTTACCGTTGCTGTATTGTAGCTAATAGTTGCTGAGTTTCAGCATTATGTTTCAACCACTTTCCTCTATAATAGCTAGAAATCGTTATTTACAATCTGTACAAATGTTAATGGTTCAATAATACAACAAATGGGATTTCCATCCTCACTTACAGGTCTCTGATGGAACTTCTTCTTCTTCTTTTTTTTTTTTTTCTTAGGCCGGGTCGCCTGGAGATTGAGATTGAGATTGGCCTTCCCGATCTAGCTGCAAGACAAGAAATCCTGGAGATTCATACTGCAAAGCTTCTGGAAAACCATTATCTTGATGGTGATGTATCAATTGAAAATCTTGGTAAGTCCTCTCTGTGTACCTACTTGTAGTGTTGAGATTAGATTGTAGCTAACTGTGGAGCTGCATGTGGTGCAGCTCATCGTACCGACGGTTACAGTGGTGCGATGCTCGAAGGGGTGGTGAAGTCTGCCGTGTCAGCAGCGCTGCAAAGGAATATTGCTCCCAATCATTTAGTCTGGACTGGCGATTACAATGCTTTCAAAGTTCTGGAAAGTGACTTTGTGGCAGCAGTGACTGAGGTTGCACGTGAACATGGGAATGATTGAAGCTTGATGGACTGATAGTTCGTTTTTTTTGCCTTGATGTTGAGTTGTAGAACATACTGCGGCATTGGTTTGGACTCTTGATTTGCAAAAGGTAAGCTCATGGGCCCGTTTGGATCTATTATGTTTAGGGAATACAGTGATTCTGCAGAGGGTTTTTTTGTTGTTGGTATTGTCGAGACTTTAAGATAGGATCAACTGAGAATATGATTTTGAACTGATAGGGTGGATTGAATCACACGTGTGTTTTGTGTTGTTGGAAGCAAAATTGTGTGGGATGAGTTGGTATTGAAATGAAAACTGCACGATGCCATTAAGCTTGGCCCAATCTGTCATATTTAGCATCTTTGATGGCCAGAACCCGTGAACTCTGTTGGTTTTGGTTCGTTTTTCTACTCAATGTTAGAGTGATGTTACATAAGCCTTTCTCCTTAGTATAATGGAAATCCACCCTGCACATGCATTTACATAGGGATGGGCATTGGGCGATTCACCCACCCAAATCAACCCATTAAAATCCGATCCACCATAATATAATATGGGTGGGTATAGTAGGCGGGGTGTGGGTTGCTTCCAGCCTAACCCATCAAAGTATGGTTGCCATCCACCCAAAATTGACAATGAATCCCTAGAATCCCTCATCAAGCTCATCCCTTCCACAATTTGACGATGTGATGCTAATTTCCAGCCGACAGCCACCAGTGATTTCTTCCAAAAATCTTGCTATGCATAACCTAATTAGTTTTTGTTTCCAACTTTGACTCCAAGTTCCTCCCCTTACTGCTTTTCAATCAAACTTACTATACGGTTTATTGAAACTTTTTCTCAAGCTTCCTCTCTTTCTCAATCGAAATTCCCATTCAAGTGGACTTGCTGCCCTGCTCTTCCGGGCTCGCGGACAATGGGAAAGCATGATGATTCAAATGTCGGTTTCTCAGCAGTTACATTACCAAAATTGGCCAAAATTGGCCAAAAGAGATAGCTTTTCCCCATAATTATGAGATGGATATCACTATTATCCATTCAGTCATTAGGTTGGCAGCATACTAATCAAATTGGTTTGACTATTATCTATTCTTGCACTATTATCTATTATTTCAATAGTAGGCAGCATGCTATGGTTCTTTGGCTTAACACTAGCCATAAGTATATTAATGAGTTACCTTCCCTTTACAATGACAGGTTAATGCTAATCAAATTGGCAGCAACAATCAAGTTCTGAATGGGAAGCAACAGAGGCAAAACATCCAAACTTCACCACAAGCACCCAATACTAATGCAGCAAGTTAGCAGCCTAAATCTGATGCAGTTGTTGGATGTAAAAGAGCTAGAAACTCAGAAGGGAAAAAGAAATCTGTGGCTTGGCAGCATTTCACAATGGTGGCTGAAACGATAGGTACAGATATGCCTAAGGCTGCTTGCAATTATTGCAAGAAGGAATATTTTGCTAATGGTAAACAACATGGAACTAGTAATTTGAAGAATCATATTGAGGAGTGTAAGGAATATGAGAAGATTAGGAGTCAGCTGGTGCAAAAGACACTGCAGATGTAGGAAGAAAAGCATTAGCTAAGATGATTGTAGTGGATGAGATGCATTTTAAAATTGTGGATGGTGAAGGGTTTAAAGAGTACTCAATGGCTCTGTAGGTTATTCCTTCCAGATACACTGTCAAAAGGGATTGTATGAGCTTGTATGTGGAAGAAAAGGAAAAACTGAAGCAACTTCTGAAAGACCAGTGGGTGTGTTTGACCATGGACACATGGACTTCACTTCAAAATATCAACTACATGTGTCTCACAGCTCATTGGATTGATGAGCAATGCAAAATACACAAGAAATTTTGAGTTTTCCCAACATTGCTAATCACAAAGGGGAGACTATTGGGATGGCTGTTCTTAGCTGCTTGGATGATTGGGGGATAGAGAAGATATTCACAATCACGGTGGATATTGAGAGTACTTACGATGGAGCTATTAAGCATATCATTAGGAGAACTAAAGATGGAGCTCAGACTGTGTTAGAGCATGCATACATACATGTTCGATGTTGTGCTCACATTCTGAATCTTATAGTGCGAGATGGATTAAAAGATTTGGATGATGCAATAATCACGATTCGGAATGCAGTTAGATTTGTCAATAGTTCTCCAGCGAGATTGCAAAGTTTCATGTAGTGTGTTGAGGAGGAGAAGATCGGCTAATATGCCTAGATGTTGAGACAAGGTGGAACTCAATTTTTCTTATGTTAGAAGTTGCTGAGAAATTTGAGAAGGATTTTGAGAAGTTAAGAGTTTGATGATCCTCGCTATGTTTCATACTTTACAGGCGGTGATGAAGATGGAGGGGACCAAGATGTCATTAGTGTGCAGAATGAGATATCTATTTGCACAAGGGGTAGAGGAAGAAAGAGGCTCAGAATGCTTGGTCCACCTTCTAGTGAGGACTGGAAAGACGCTAAGTGTTTAACCGAGTTTTTGAGGCTTTTCTACAACGCCACTCTTAAGCTTTCTGGTGCTCAGTATACTACTTCTAACCAGTTTTTCCACGAGCTTGTCGCTTTGCAGCAAAACATCATGACCATGACTGAGAGTAATGATCGAATATTGAGTTCAATGGCTTTCAGAATGTTGTCCAAGTTTACCAAATACTGGTCGATTATGTGAACTCTTTGTTGCACATAGCTGTGGTCCTAGATCCAATATATAAGCTAAAATATGTGGAATACTGCATGACACGACTTTGCGGAGAGAAAAAGGCTGCTGAGTTTGCAGAAGATCTTGAGAAAAAGCTGGTTGAGCTGTATGAGTATTATTTGGAAGAAAATCCTAATTCTGGGCACTCTAAACATGCTACTTCCGCTGCTAGCCTTGATATTTCTGCTGATTTACTGAATACAGATCCTGCAAAAGCTCTTAGACTTTAGTTTGCAAAGGAACATGCATCTTCTGCTAGCATTGGAGGGAAGTCAGAAGTTCAGCGATACCTTTCTGAAGTTGCAGAGGGGGAAACAGATGCATTTGACATTTTATTCTGGTGGAAAATCAACTCTTCCAAGTATCCAATCATAGCACTTAGCACGAATTGCAAAAGATGTGCTTGCTGTGCCTGTAACAAGTGTGGCTTCGGAGTCAACATTCAGCACTAGGGGTCGTGTACTTGATGCATATCGGAGCAACTTAGTACCAACTACTGTGGAAGCATTGATTAGCTGTCAAGATTGGTTGAAATCTTCTGGACACTCCATAGGGGTTCATAATGCATTCCCTGGTATCGGTAAGTTTTTCTACCTTAATTCATTTAATGATCTTGTTATAACATATATTTGTAACTTTTTGCTAGTAGTGTCAAAATGCATAAACATTTAGCAGCCTCCTGTTTAAATAGCTTGTTAAGACAGTGAGCTTTGTAATACTGTCGAAGGAATTATGGATGATTCTGCAGTTTTAGGTATAGAATTGTAAAGAGACCAAGATGTGTAACCCTTGTTGGGGGAGCACATAGAGCATTAATAAGATTTTTTATATAGCCCATAAAAAAAAATATGGATGATTGCTGAATTTTTCAAGGAGCTTGTACTACTAAATGATCAATATTTTAACTTATCACTGTGATTTTTTTTTTGACAGAAGCATAAGAGGATTAAGAAGATCATGGATATGCTCCTGTTGATCTTGTTCCTTTGGGGATGTAAGTATGAGTTGCTATGCCAAGTAACCGTGTTTTTTAGATGGATGTTTGTGATCATATCCAGCAACCGTATTTTCTGTTCTTGGCTGCCTTACTAATATTATTAATAGATCATCATGTTTTTTATGTCCTTTATTACAGGTTGGAGACTTGGAGTCAATAAAAGGGACCAAAAGGGAACAAGTCAGAACTCGAACTCAGAAGCAACAGAGGAATGGGCACTATTGGGTGGCGCCTAACATTTGAAAATGTAAAGGCGCCTAGGTTGGCCAGGTGCTTCAAATGAGGGCACCAAAGATTGAGGTGCCAACGACGAGAAAAAAGGGGTATTCGGCAGACGCCTAGGCTAAAAGGAGTATGTCAAAGGTGCAGGCCAGCATTGGTGAGTCAGGAGCCCATGATGGGAGTACAAGCACGCGCAGACCGGTTCGACGAAAGAAGACGATTGAAAGGCCAAAGGGGGTTAGGCGCCTGCAACAAGTGAATTCTTAGGTACGCGCGGAGTGGATGGGTGCTATTGGGGCGACGCCTAACATTTGAAAACGTAAGGGCGCCCCGATTGAAGGGAATGGGGAGCATCAGTGCCACTAAATGACGATCAATCTTGGGAGTATTACTAGAATGAGCGCCTCTCAAAAGGTGTGTGAGAAACGCCAATCGAATAGGAAGCAACAAGTGCGTCAAAGGGCGTAGTTAGGCATTTAAGAAGTGAAGGTTGAGCGCCTAATTGGGGGGTAATTGTTGGGGGTATTACGTGGGCCTGCCCAAATATGGGCACAATATGATCTAGTAGAAGAAGAAAAAGCTCCATTATGAGGTAGGCCCATGGGTAGTCCTATTGGGTCGGGTCCATGCATGAAGTGGGCAACCTAAAGACAAAACTCAGGAAACTCAAAAGAAGTACGGATTGCCTATGTTCCCCCTGTTGGGCGCCTATCAATTGTCAGAGGCCTGACATGTCGGTCAGGGGCCTAGTCTGACAGAAGTTTGGAGCATTAAATGTGTCGCTAGCGTGGAGCTGGGTTGAAGGAGCCCGGTCTAGAGTTGGGTGAGAGTAAATAGGGCCGGTAGGTAGCATTTATAGGGGGGGACTTTCACACTAAAAAACTAGAGTTAAACACTTCTCTATCTAAACCCCGGACTAACTTGATCGCCAGAGGATTAACGGGCCCAGGCGCCCACCTCTGTGTGCATCTGTGCAGGCCAGACGCTTAGGAATCAGTGAGCAAGGAGTGTGTGGCGAAGAAGCAGACTCTCGGGTATCCGGGAATAAACATAAACCATGCCAAACTTCTTTCACAAAACTGCAATTGATGAAGAGATGGTTGTTATTTTCTTCCTCCCTAGCAAAGCTCACACAGCAAAGAAGCAAATTTTGGATGGGATGAAGTGTTTCCAAACTGTCGAGTGATGATAATAAGCCCGGCACACTAGAGAGCAAACAAGTATCCCAAAGAGTCGTCGAGTTAACCTTAGTACCAAGTATTACGACATAATAATCAGGTATAGGAACATTGCACATAGTATACATGATTGATTTGTCCAAGTTGATCTTAAGACCATTGATGGCTTGAAAGCAAACAAGAGTGCTAAGGATGTTGAGGACTTGCTCGTGAGAAACATCACAAAAGATGAGAGTATCATCAACAAAAAGCATGTGAGTAACCTCACCTTGCCGATAAAACTCGTCCATTAAAAAGCCTTCAATTAAGCCCGGCACACTAGAGAGCAAGAAGGAGAGAACATCCATAACCATAGTGGACAAGCTGGAGGAAAGAGGATCGCCTTGTCTGAGGCCTTTATGAGCCGGAAAAAATCTCTTAGATTCTCTATTAATTAAGACCGAGAGCTTGAAAAGGAGAGCAAACAACGCCCTTGATCCAATACAGTCATTTCGATGGAAAGCCAAATCTGGAGAGCACCTTAAACAAACAACTCCAATAGACGCTATCAAAAGCTTTCTCAGTGTCAAGCTTGAATTTAAGGCCTGGTTTTTTGCTTTTCCTCCTACTATTAATGAGTTCATTTGAGATAAGACCAACTTCTGATATCTGTCTACCATGGACAGAAGCATGTTGGTAGTAAGACACAATGCTAGGAAGCACCACACAGTGTCATCGAGAGAGAACTTTATTAATCAGCTTGTTGATGCTTCCCATAAGGCCAATAGGTCAGAGATCCTTGACTTCTTCAACATAATCCTTCTTGGGGACAAGGAAAATGAAAGAATGAACCGCACACCTGGAGAGAACCAAAAGAATGAAATTCCATAAAAATCTTCAAAAATTTAGCCTTGATCCTAGCCCAGCATCTCTTATAAAATGCAAATGTAAAAGCCATCGGACCCCGGAGCCTTATCACCATCACAATCGACCAAAGCTTCCCAAATTTCTGATTTTGTGAATGGTTTAGTAAGTAAGACATCCTCATCTTCTCTTAGGGGTCGTTTGCTTGTTGGATTTGGGTCATGGATTTGGTACCCAAATCCCAAGCTTGATGGATTTAACATAAGTCCATTGTTTGTTGAAGGGTTCTAAATTCGTGGGGTCCACGGATTTGGTCTTTATTTTGGAACCAAATTCGTGGACCCCACGAACTTGTAAATCCCACATATTGATTTGGGATTTGCAAATCCTTGATGGTTAGTTATTTATTTAACAAATCCATCACAAATCCATCATCAAATCTATCATGCAAACATTAGACTCTTCAAATCCATAATCCAATAAATCCAAGGCAAAATACACTTGTGTAGCCAAAATTTGATGGTTTTGCCAAATATAGCCACTTTTGGCTAAATACCAAAAATAGCCACTTCCGTCCAATTCTTTGACGGTGTTAACCAAATGGCTGACTGGACTAACGGAGTGGCTGAGTTGACGACAATTAATAATTTAAAATATGAGGTGGAAAATAAATATAAATTAAATACTTTTTTCTATTTTCACTCTCCTATCTCTCTTACTTTCCCTTTCCCAGCCTATGAGATTTCCTCTTCTTGCGTTTTATTTTCCCCAACGCAATAAATCACTCCCTCTCCCCTCGCGATTCATTCACTCTCTCAATTTAGGGATTTTCCTTTTCCAGTTTCCCTCCCTTTCCTCTACTGATCGATTACCACAATGGGAGGAGGCGCAACCATGAGAACAGTGGCCAAGGTCGTTGGTATCGGCGTCGTCAACAACGGATTCCACGGCGTCGCCGGGATTCGGGCAGAGCTAGGAGAAGGGTGCAGACAGAGCAAAGAGAAACAGAGAGGGATCGAGAAACCTCTTGGGAACCCAAAATTGAAAACCCAGGTCGATTCACTTTTGATTTCTGGGGCTATTCAAGATCTGTGAAAGAAGAAGCGGCTAGCGATGGCGTCGGAAGGCATAAGAGGAAGGTGATTCATCGGAGGCGACGCGGACGGCATAAGCGGCAGGATCTTGAAAGTAAAAGCTCTGGATGGTCGTTTTCAGCCTTGTTTGTGTTTGGGTTTCGTTCGTAGAAGAACAAGAACCAAAGAAGACATATCAGATCTGGAGAAGCAGGGTTCACTGGTCGCTTGGTTCGTTGGTCGATCAATGGGAGATACTGGATTTGATTCTCGAAAGAATAGGGGGCAGGGAGTTGAATTGGAGAAGATGAAGAAGGGGATTAAGAGACGGAGAGTTCATCTCTTTTTTTTTTTTTATTTATTTATGTAATTAATAATAAAAAAGATAAACATTTTCATTTGGAATATTTTAACGATTTTTTTTTTCTTTTGTAAATGACGTGTCGTCTAGCTGTCAGTGAATGTTGAGGTGGAAAAGAAAGAGAAAGTGAGTTGGCAGCCAGATCATCATTCCGTTAATTTGACCAACGGTGTCACTGACGCCGTTAAACTATGTAACGAAAATGGCTATTATTGTCATCAAACTTTTAAAATTTTGGCTATTATTGATATTTTCTCAAAAGTGGTTATTATTGTCACAAACGTCAAAGTTTTGGCTACACATGAATTTTGCCTAAATCCAACATAAATCCCAAGATTTTTATTGACCAAAACCCTCATTTTTCAAATCCAACAAGCAAACGACCCCTAGTTGTTTGTCAATGAACACGCCTGGAAAAGGGCGGTCAACGATATCTTCCTGAGAGAGATTCTGATAGAAGCTAAGAATGTCCTGCGAAACAGCCTCTTCTCTGTTAGCAAGCTCCCAATTGATTTTAATTCAACCAATGTGGTTGAATTTCCTTCTATAGTTTGCCATTTGATGAAAAAATCCGCTGTTTCTATCACCTACTTTCAACCATGGGATGTTTCAAAGATTTCATAATGGGAATGGATATACAACAACCCAACCCACTGCCATGCCTGGAATAAGAATGCTATAAATTAAAAAAAAAAAAAAAAAAGATAAAGAAAAGAAGTTGAATAAAAATCATATGATAACTTTATTTTTACTGTTATAAATAATAATTCACACAATCCAACTAAACAACAATCTTATGAAATCTATAATAATCCAAACTGGTCACTAATTCTTCACTTTTCAAAATCAAAATTTTGAACGGACCAACAAACGATCCCTTTATTGTCAGATCGTACATTCTCCTTAATGTCAGATCTCCATGGCCCTCTCAATAATAATTTGATTATGTTGATTGGAAATCCATCATTCCACTAGGCCTGAAAGACGGATAAAAAGAGTTACAAGTTGATCGACTAAGCGCGATTACAAATAAATCATTTTGTTCAGTTCACAGAGATTACCTGGACGCTAATGGGTGCAGTGCATGCAAGAAATCTTCCATTGTGATTTTAAAACTCTCTTCATCAAAACCCATCTTCGTCGGATGGACACTTGACGCTCTGTTGAAAGCACACGACACAGAACTATTCACCAAAGCTTCAAGCTCTGCACCACTGTACTTCTCTGTGCGAGCAGCTGTACAAAGAGGACAAGTATTATAAATTACCAACAAACAAACTCGATTTGCTCATAAGGTACTCTATGAACTTGGCTACTTGACGTCACAAACGAGCCAACTCATGAGCAAAACAAGATTTAGCTCAACTAATGAACGAGTATTGGTGGTGGACGAGTTTTTTCCGTCCAGCCGTGACCCTAACTAGGGATGATATGCAGACATCAGAAACACGTACCAAGCTCCTGAAGGTTCACATCAGGAGCAAGAAAGGAGTTCTCCATGTTGTCTGTAAGAATCTCGAGAATCTGGAGGCGACCACTTTCATCAGGAAGGCTAAACTTCACTTTAAGCTCGAACCGGCCAGGTCTATACACCAGCAAACAAATTTGATCAGGGACAGTAGCCAGAATTTTATATACAATGCTTCTAGGGCTTGATGATACAACATAGCAGTACCTCAGTTTGACATGGTATAGATTATAGTTGCGAAATATGTGATAAATAATATCAAGTAGCAGAATGTCATGGAGCAGCCCTTGTATGACAAACGCTTGAAAGTGATTCAACTATCTAAAAAAAATTATTTCAATATCCAACCAGTCTAAATGGAAATCGTGACTAAGCCATTCTGATGACGGGTCAGATGTAAAGGGACAGTGTATACCAAAAATATGCAACTGAAGAGAGAAAAACCTTAATAGTTCTTCGGGGAGCAAATCCTTTCTATTGGTCACTCCAATAAGCAAGATATTGTTCAGCGCCTTCATACCATCCATCTAGAATTCATAGAGAAACAATGATGTAACAATTTATACTATGTTTAGGCGTTTAGTAAAGACAGCAACCAACCACTCTACAGTTTACCTTTGTAGCCAACTGCTGTACGATGCGGTGACGAGCTACTTCAGCAGCCCTTGTTGATCCTCCCATCTGCAAAGTTAAACTAATAAATGATATCCAGGAATGGACACAAAAAAATTATATACTAACAGAAAAGGCCAGACAATTACGACAAAAAGGAATAATTAATAGGTTAACAGTTGAAAATCAAAAGTGTTTAATCCGCATTTAGGATAATTTCATAGGAAGAATTTTAAACCATTTCAAGGGATAAAATTTCATTACCATATCGTTGTGATCTAGATTTCATCACTACTGCAACTAAAGTTTAAGAAACACTGCATCCAGGGCAAACTTGGCTAGTACTTTACCTTGCATATAGCATCAATTTCATCAAAGATTATCACATGATGTTTACTTTGATCACCTGAAAGGAAACATTTACCCAATCCAGTTATCACAAGAGATCATGTCATGCCAGAAGCACCTGAAGACAGAGGGATCTTACCACGCTTCCGTTGATCATTTTCGGCATCTGCAAACAGATCTCTAATATTCTTTTCAGTTTTACCAATCATCTCACTAACGATATCAGGACCACGAACAACCTGGAACGGATTCCATTGAAAGAGGGAAACGTCTCAGCAAGTTCATTGGTTTCGTCAATGGAAAGCTCCTAAATTATGTAGATAAAAAAAAACTTTTTGTTCCACATAGGTGATTGCAAAGCAGCAAAACCTCGCAGCAGAAACAAATGACATGCAACTAAGCTAGATCCACCTTAGGTTCCTTTCCGTTCAATATTTTCCCGATCTGATTAGCCATCAGAGTTTTTCCTGTTCCAGGAGGTCCGTAAAGCAGCAAGCCTTTCACATGGTTAATCCCCAACCTAGATTACCACATTGACATTTGTCAACAGAGAGCAGCGCATATATATAATGCACATAACATCTGTTTTGATAAGTTGATATCCAAATTTTATTACTTGTGAAACATCTGAAGAGGGACAAAACGAGATAGCAAGGCTCTTCGACATATATATGCAAACTGTTCACCCAAGCCACCAATGCCGAGTGATTGTGGATTGACGTCACCCTTAAGGATATTGCTACTGGCTGCTTCATGTTGATTGACAAACTGTAAATAAAGTTCAGTAGAGATCAAGATAGATGAATGCATAACCCAGCAAATTTATAAAGTCCTAAACCATAATACGAGAAAACAGGAAGGGGACCAAGTTGAAACTAGTCAGCGACTTCGATACTATCTTAGAATTCTTAACAACGTAAGACCGAGAGAATCGTATGTAGTAATCATATCTATTCCAAAAGAAATCAGGAGTTTAACCTTTATGCTACTAGTATTTGCTGCTTCAAAGATGAAGGAGGTGTCGATAGAAATCATCCCTCTTTCAACATCACCAGAATTTTCTTGGCCCTTCATAATAACTTGATTAACGGTAAAAATGTAGGCAGTCATATGATACTCAAATGTTACTCTTTGCCCTGAACTCATAACCTGCAATGAACAAGAAAATTAACCAGAGAACATTTCTCAATGTAGCAAATGATAAAAATCAAATGACACCAGTAAACATTTGCATCACGCATATTTTCCTCAGCACATTCACAGTCAGTGGCATTAGGTATAAACTATTGATCTCTTTATATTCCACAGCACTGAGTGCCAGATACACTAACCAGCAAAAAACAAGATTCGCACAATATATTTTAAGTTTTTAACGCCTTCCTCTAATTCTTGTTTCTTACAAACCAATCATCAAAGGCATGCAGACAAGAATTACTCTATATTTCATCAAACGTTAGACCCAAATTTATTCGATCACATGAAGTATTTAAATGATGTACCTAGGGTTTCATAGTCAAAGAAGTAAACTAGTTGCTGGAAATTTCATGAACAGTAGAAAAGTGGACTAGTTAGGGGCTGACTCTCCAATCCAGCTGCAGGACTTCACTTGAAAATCCTCTCAATAAAAGGTTTCGAGAATCCACCCAAACAAGCAACCGAAATAATCAAATAACTCTATATACAAGCATGTGAGATCTGTACAAAATTCTTCGTATATGTAGGAGTCATAAACTTATTGAGCAAGAACTAATCATATTCTAGTATTACTTCGTAATACAATAATACATCCCTGAATGACATTATCTTATCCAAGGAAACTTCTAAAATATCTCTATAGCAGTAAAGAGAAGTTTGATCAGACATGCATAAGAGTAGTTTGATCAATCCCTTAGCAAGAACCAAGAAATTAAAGACTGGGCTTCACCTGGTTCATAAATATTTTCTTAAGATGGTTGGACAGCACAACAGCATCAACCTAACAGAAAGCAAGAACCTGTGTTAATCCAGTTATGTTGTATGTAGTAATAAGATCAATAGTAAACAACTCATTACAGTACTATGATCTGATATATGTATATATTAATGCATAGGAACTGAATTCGACCTAACCGCACGCATTTTTTGATCCCTTGTACATAACTGCTACAAATCAAATCATGCATATCCAATTACACCACACCTAGACATTAATGTACTTACTATTACATGAGAGGCCCAATCTCTTAAATTATTTGGCTTTATTAATCATGTCATCCTTTTCCATTTTCGTAAAGCATGTGTTGTTTCACAATCAATTTAAAAAACAACCCACAGGCCAAATACTCAGGACCTGCCACAACCTGATCACATTCATTCCTACCAGTGCGCATATACCTGTTCAGTTCTACTTGCTTCCTTCTTCACAAATTCCAGCTTGAGCTTGAGCAATGCAAGGTCGAAGTCATTGGGAGGGATGAACCTTCAGGAGATACCGTGGACGAATAAGATACTATTTTTCAACTTCAAAACACTAGTACAAAGAAATCAAAAAGGAACAATCACCTGCTGACAGAAACTTCATCACCAGAAGAAACTTTAATACACCGACGCTGAGCACCATTGAGCGCAATATGCCCTCTCTCAACGCTTTGATGGGAAGTAAGACTAGTTAAGAAAGTGTTCAATCCCGGCAGATACATCAGAATTTACCAAACAAAGATGCAAAAAATACAGTGACCTTCAAGATCTCTATGACAAAGCCAGTAAAAATGCAAGACAATGCCACAACATTAAACACATCAGTCGACAGAAACATCGTAACAATGTAGGAGCTGAAAGTTTCTTTCTTCTACCAAAAAAAAAAATTCTTTCACTCAGCAACTAGATGATTCCAACCAAATCTTTCATAATTCACACAAGCATGGAAACAAAAGCGGTAAATAGAATTTCCTTCCCACAACCAAAACCCTTCCCCAAACAACACCTAATTGTTCAGAGCATACCAAATTTTACTTGTTTAAACCAAGTTGCTCAACGATTAGTTTTGCCTGATTGTAAAGAAAGCGAAAAAAAAAAAAAAAAGAGTCGAGCTTGAAAGGATATGCAAGATTAAGAATGACTCTGTCGGCAAGCAAGGCCATGAAAAGCTCTGTCCCCATGTCAGCAAAGTGGTGGAGATCAGCAGGGGAGCAGTAGGCGAGGTTCGTCATCGTGAGATCCATGGAAGGAATCTTGGTTACTCTCATTGTAGCCGGCACAGACATCTTGGGGAACAATTGAAAGGAATGATGGGCTTTAGATATACAACAAAGTACATTAGGGTTAAGGGTACATGCTATTTGCACCCAAAAGGGAACATTAGAGAATGGGTTTGTCTCGCAGAAATCAGAAATTAGAGAGCAGGGGTTACCTCAACGATGGAACGGAACAGAACAGAGGTGGAAGATTCGGTGGAATCGTAAACCGCCCGCGGACTCCGTTGTCGTTGCAGATCTCGTATAGTACTTTAGCTTCGATTTCCGATGAACTTCTCTGCAATAAGTGAAGGGGAAGGCATCAATGAAAAAATCAACAAGAACAAAAACATGTGAGAGTCACGAACAGTTTGACTGCCGACGAAGATAATCGAGATGAGAAGTAGTAGTAGAGGAGAACGAACAGAGAGCAAGTACGGAAGGGAGAAGAGGGTTGGTTTGTCTTTTATCATCTTCGACCGATCCTATTTATAAACAACTTTTAGATTACCTATGACACGTAAGCATTGGAGATCAGCCCGTGTTTCTCGGTGCCGGTGGTTACTCTTTTTTTTTTTTTTTTTTTTTGTAAACGAAATTATTATTATTGGTTGTATTTAAGTGTCAGAGGTCGAACTAAAGACCTTCTGCTACTAGTACAACTATTCGAGTTGAATTGAACTACCACCAGACTTTACATATATTTTATTCTATTAAAAATCAAAACTTGTTCTTTTATATTCGCGTCATGATTATATGTTAATGTCATGCGAATTAAAAAATAATTCTATCAATTTTTAAAAATACCAATATAGTTGGCCATTAAGAAAGTCAAATTATTCAATTGTTGAGAAAATAAAAAATGAGCATTCATAATACATATTATTACTTTGTAATCATTGTCTTCTATATATGCAGATTCTGGTTGAAGTTAAAATTATAGGGCTCATGGAAGGAATATCAACTCATAATAAACTTTATGGCACAGTATTATAGGTATACAAAAATGATTGGTAACATTGTTTGTTAAGTTAATTTTTACCATAGGTTTATGATTGATTTGTCTCATAATTTTGCCTTCCATTATCAAATCCCAAATGAAATATGGTCTTTGCAAATTTGTGGCCTCACGGATTTGTGTCCCTTAGCAAACGATGGGTTAGTGCCAACTCCTTGACGCTTGGGATTTGGAAGCCAAATCCCACAAACAAACAATACCTAAACTTAACCATATAGGAAAAATAATTTTCACAACAAAGAATTCACCTCATTCTAGTCACATCTGTTGTTGGAGATCATTGATTATCTTCAAAAATCTTAATTCTGTTGGGATTTTTGGTGTTCTAACCAACACATTCAAAGCATGATTCTAGTTAGAAGCGTTTTGGTGACCTAGAAGCGTAAATGCATAAACTTTCAACCTTTAAAACGCATTGACTGCATTATTGCACAAAATGTAGTCAGTTTTGATAACCTAAAAGCGTAAGATTTTAAGATTTAAAATGCTATTTATTATTTAAATGATTTATCAAAGAAAAGAAATAATAATTAGTTGAGTTGTGTTTAGTGATAATAGTTTTATTTTTAAATGATTTATCAAATAGAAAATATAATAATTAGTTGAGGCGTGAAAAGTGATAATAGTCTCTTACTTACTTGTCAATTATTTAATTATTAAGAAATAACTTTTTTTAGAGCAATAGTCACTTTTATAGGGTTTATGCGTAGAGTTTGTTACATTTTTTTATAACAAATACATGACAAAAATATCCTCCCTAAGTTTTCTCGTAGAGCTAGAAATTTTGGATGGAGCATGTTTAGATGGAGAATCTCTATAAATAAGTGTTAGGATTCAATCAAGTAAATCAATTTATATATTTACCGTAAAAAAAATCAATTTATATATTTTTATCACATTAAATATATTCATCAACAAATTATTCAGTATATCTGGAACCACTCTAATTTTTTTATTAAAGATAAACATGTTATTTAATATAAAATTATAATTTTTATGTTTATTCAACGTTAACAATCACAATTACCAAACAATAAACTTTTTAAAACCTATTTTTAATAATCTAAAAATTTAGAATATTTATATTGTTGACAATCTATAAGATTTATACTCATATTCTCCAAACGAGCCCTGAATCCATGATAAAAAAAAATCAACTAAACAAACAATGTTATCTTTCAGATACAAAATGCAACAAATCATCGTAAATCCAAAAAAATTCAAAATACAAAACACTCATTTTCAAATCCAACAAACAAACGAGCCCGTACGTAGATTCTTTTTCATATTATTTTACCCACGGCAGGACTTGATTTGCATTACCCATATACACAAAATCAGCCACCATTTGAGAGTAGAGTGTAGGTAGCAGCCACCATTTTATACGAGAAGCTTTTATGCAAGTGCAAGATGTTTCTTAACATTTTTATATTCTGTTTCCAAAAATTATAATTTTCTTTTATTATATCATTTTAAATTTTTAAAAAATTATATAATATAATAATATATATTTACTTTTTATATTTGAAATATATTTATTATTCAATGATACTTCTACTTCTAATATTAAAAGTATTTCTTATAGTTTATTAGCCATACACTAAATTGCTTTTTTATAAATTACTTTTTTCTAAAAGCTCCAACTGCAAGATGTTTTTACAAAATTACAACAGGATCAAACTATCACATTGTATATGCTTATGGCCAATTTATTCAATGTCTAATATGCATAAATTAAGAGTTATGTATTTTGATTATGAAAATGTACGGTCTATTTTCAACACAAAATTATCCACCAAATATTGAGTGGTTGGTTAAAATTCCATAAACCTGCATTTAAATAACACAAACCAAATTACTTTTGACAAATATTTTTCAATGAAAAAAGATAAATATCCAAAATAATTTAAGTATAAATCTAAGTATAATATCCAAAATCATTTAAGTATAAATTTATATGATAATCGAATGAAACGCATCCCGGCCAATGTCGGGCACAAATCTAGTGTCATTTTAAGGCTTAATTGCAAGTTTGGTCACTCGAATTGCTACAAAATCTCACGTTTGGTCACTAAAATTGATTTATTCCATTAGTAGTCGCTTAAATTAGTTGAACAGTCCAAGTTCGGTCACTCTCCGTTAACCTCCGTTAGACTCCATTAATGACGACCGTTAAGTGATGACATGGCTAACAGAAAATCACAGTCAGCCTATTTTAACCCTAAAAAATAACTACCTGACCCGCCACGTCAGATTTGCCCGCCATGTCACCCTTCCCTACCCAACCCGCAAACCAACCCAATAATCGACCCAACCCCAAACCCGACCCCCTGAATCTGCTGAAGAAGAAGACGACTATGGTGTTGCTTCCGCAATTCCAACCCCCAATCTCCATTTCCCTTCCAGTTACAACGATCCCTCCTCTCAATCTTCTTCTTATGTTGCTGCTGCATCTCCTTCCGCTATCCAGTACCAAAACTTCCTCCCTCAACACCACCACCACCACGCCGTCGCCGCCCCGTCCTCTGTGGCCTTCAATTTCGACGACCGGCGGCTCGACTTCGTGGACCTGTCCCTCGGGAGCTCGAGCGATGCGGATCCCGATCTCCACCGCGGAGCTGGACCGTCTTCGACGGCGATGCCGATAGAGAAGGAGCACATGTTCGACAAAGTGGTGACGCCGAGCGACGTCGGGAAGCTGAATCGACTGGTGATACCGAAGCAGCACGCGGAGATGTGAAACTGATCGGCGCCTGGGCGAGCCCTTACGTAATGAGGCCTAGAATCGCGCTCAACTTCAAATCCGTCGAGTACGAGTTCCTCCAAGAGCAGTTCGGATCCAAGAGCGAGCTCCTCATCAAATCAAACCCTGTCCACAAGAAAATCCATGTCCTTCTGCACAACGGCAAACCCGTCTGCGAATCCGTAGCGGCGGAGGTAGGTTTTGACGCCGGCGATGGTCGGGTGGCGGCCGCCGATTTTGGGGGCTTCGGTGAATGGTCGAGGAAGGAGGTGGGCGTTTGATGAGGAGGGGAGGGTTTGAAGGAGGAGGAGGAGGAGAAGGGGAAGAATAAGGAAGTCGATTTTACTTTTCAGATTCAGGGGGGTCGGGTTTGGGGTTGGGTCGATTATTGGGTTGGTTTGCGGGTTGGGTAGGGAAGGGTGATATGGCGGGCAAATCTGACGTGGCGTCATTTTTTAGGGTTAAAATATGCTGACTGTGATTTTCTGTTAGCCACGTCATCACTTAATGGTCGTCATTAACGGAGTCTAACGGAGGTTAATGGAGAGTGATCGAACTTGGACTGTTCGACTAATTTAAGTGACTACTAATGGAATAAACCAATTTTAGTGACCAAACGTGAAATTTTGTAGCAATTCGAGTGACCAAACTTGCAATTAAGCCGTCATTTTAGATTTTTTCTTCTTTAACCCACCTACTCCCTATTGGCCATTGGGTTTCATCTCCTTCAGAAGTCTTTTGTCGTGTTTGGTACTCCGACAATCAACCACCTTCTGGAACCTTTGCACGTAATTAGGAGTGGAGGGTGATTAATTTTACCGCTATAGATATGTACTGTACTTAGGGGTGGGATTCGGTCGGTAAACAATTTACCGTTTACCGAATTTACCGGTTTCGGTATACCGAAGTTGGCCAAACTGGTTACCGATTACCGATACCGATTTGTAACCGGTTTACCGATTACCGAATTACCGGTAAACGGTTACAAATCGGTATTACCGAAATACCGTGAGAAGCGATTTCGGGCGGTTTTTCGGTCGGTTTACCGAATATTTAACGAACCGAATTTCTGAAAGTGGGGTGATGTTGTAATATTTTGATTTTATTGAGTTTTTTTCATCATTTTTATAATTAATAATTTATTATTAATTCTTATTTACAATATTTTTTAGGCCAATACTTACATTCATGTATGTAATATTTTATATTTTTGGGGGTAAAGAAACAAAACGCAGCGCAGCACTAGGGAGTAGGGAGGGGGGATTCGGTATCGGTAATACCGATTTACCGTCAGTATTTACCGATACCGTGTCCGGTAAACCGACTCCCCCAACTTCCCGCTCGACTGCCGATACCGTGTCCGTTTACCGGATTACCGTTTACCACCCCTAACTGTACTCTTAGTTTTATAATGTGGATTATTTTGTTATTTAAGATATTGAGTTTAGTTATTGTTTATAATTATAATTATTAATTGTGTAATTCTTGTATAGGAAGCAACCCATTCTCGGCCTCTTCTTTCATATGGAGTGCGGATCTTGTGACTAGGGGGGGTCCTTAGTCACTTAACTAAGCCCCAGCCTTTGGATTGATCTAATGGTCCAGATAAAGTGTTGAATTATTACTAAATGAAAATGGTAGTTTTGGCATTATCATAAATTCATTAATTCCTAATTTCAGTTTTGTTTTATTTTGTTTTTTTTTTCCTTCCTCTCCAACCGTCTCCTTCTTTCCCGTTCACACAGAGAGAGAGAGAGATGCGTGATGTCAACGGCGACGGTGAGAGAAGGGCAGACAGCGACGATGGAGAGAGAAAGAAGACCTCGACGGAGTTGATGGAGAGAGGAAAAGGCGTCGCGACGGAGGCGGCATCATTGGAGAGAGAGAAAGTAGATCTAGAGAGAGTCGATGGAGAGAGAGGCGGTGGCGGAGAGAGAGAGGCAGTGGCAGAGAGCTTTGACGGCGATGGAGGAGAGAGAAGCGGCACGGTGATGGAGATAGAGAGGTAACGACGGCTGTAGAGAGAGTCGGCGGCGACGGTGGAGAGACATCGTATACGTCGTCTGAAGGAAGAACAGTGATTTGTAATGCAAGTGTTGTCAGTTTGTATTGTTAGTATTTTTATACGTAATGTCAGTAAGATTTGTATAGTTTGTATGTTTTGTAATATTAATTTGTATACTTTATATGTATTGATTTGTGATGCAAATCACGTCGCTTTGTATTGTAAGAACTAATAATTTGTATACTTTATATGTATTGATTTGTGATGCAAAAAACATTACAAACATGGTTGACAAAAATGACAAACATGGTGGACAAAAATAACAAAACTTACAAACAATACAAAAGAAACCAACAAACATTACAAAAGAAACCGACAAACAGTATGAAGCATACTACACGTACAAAATATCACTACTTACAATACAGATTGGTAAACTTGTATTACAAACAAATGAATACAAAGTATACAAATCATAACATAAAAGTATACAAACTTGAATAACAAAAATTACAAATTATAATATATACATAGTCATATAAACATTACAAATGTAATAGAGAAAAATGACAAACAAGAATAATAAACAATACAAACCGAATTGATATAAAGATTACAAAACAGACTTATAAACATTACAAAATAGGTCGACATTACAAATCCAGCAATGTCGCCGGAAAATCATCGGCTGTCATCTCCGATCGTCGTTGCCGGAAATCTCTCTCTCACTCTCCTGAACTTCATAGGGGGGATTCCACTCTCTCTGGGAAAATAATTTCCCATGTCACCTCCCTCTCTCTTTTCTATGGTCGTGGGGAAAGAAGATGAGAAGCCGGAAAAAAAAAAAAATTTGGTCGGCCGGAGGTGCGGGAGGAACGACGATCGGCGGGACGGAAGGGAGGTGGGAGGGACGGACGGAAGTGACATGTTATTTTAATTGTTAAATAAATAAAATGTATAATTACAACCTTGTCCTTCATTAAACTAGATAAAATAGAACCATTAGATTTTAATGAGTCGGGATAGCTGAGATTGGTTTAGTCATATGACTAAGGGGACCCTTTAGTCACCTGATCTTATCCCTTTCATATGTGGTGGATGGTTGTGAGTTTTTTTTTTTTTTTTTTCTGTTTTGGCTATGCTTGTAAGGGGGCTGGGTTAATTGTGGATAGGTTGTATTGGGCCAGTGTTTCGTTGGGCTTTGGGTTGGCTTTGTGGGTTTTCTTCAGTTGCTTTTCCCTCTCTTTTCAGTGGACTTGGTTTGTTCCATTGTGTTTGAACTATTCTTTGTCTCTTGTATTTATCTCCCATAATTCCTAGATTTTTGTCCAAACTCTATAACACATTCCTATTTTGTGATGAATTTAGGTTTCGTAAAAATAAACTCTTAAATGTGTGTAGTTCTCATTGTAGTGTTGGTTTTAGGACCTTTTTAGCCTTTTCGAAACGTATGCACTTCACAATCTAAACGTGTATTTCATAAACCATTTCTAAGTGTTGGGAGCATCATAGCAATAAGTATATGAAAGCATTGAACCGTTAGGAGATTGTGCTGCAAGCTTTTTTTTATGTATGGAGATGAATGAACTTATGAAGTGTGTGTACAGCAGAGCCATGGGCACAAAAGTTTAGACCAAGATATTTATGAAGAAGGAAATGTGTTGTTTATGTTCGTTAGAAAAGAAACAACAAACCCTAATAATAGAAGAAAAATTAAATTCCTTTAGATGTACGTGCAGTGGCGGATCCAGATAGGGCTGGGAAAATAGACCAGACCGTTTGAAAAACCGTGGTTCAAACCGTACCGTACAGTTTGGTCCGGACCGTAGACCGTTAAGTATGGTCTGGTCTGGTCCATGATATGTATAATTTTATATTTTGATCTCTTGGTCTGGTCTGGTCTAGACCGCGGTTTACCGGACCAAACCGTGGACCCAACTGACTTGTCAATACGTGTTAACAGCCCATTCGACCACTCTCCCAACTCCCACAACGACACCCAAGTCTCAACCTTAGTTTTGTGAATCTCGTTCCTCCTTCATTCACAACCACATTTAACCAGAGAGTAGAGATAATTGTGTCTCCATATGACATTATGTTAATGTTTATGACGTTATGATGCAAGTTGGGATACTTTTACTTTGTATATTTGTTATGTACTAAGATTTAGGGTATCAAAATTATTCATGCATGTTAGGATTAATGTGTTAAGGCAAATAACAATTATTTTTCTTGGTTATTGGTTCAATTTTTTGTGTGGTTGACTAAACAAATTATTCATTTTTCATTGAGTGTGGTCTATCTGGACCAGACCATACCGAACCAGACCGCACAGGCGTGGTCTGGACCAGACCGCACAGGCGTGGTCTGGACCAGACCGTATAGTTTGTGGTCTGGCCTGTGGTCTGGCCTGTGGTCTATACTTCAGCCTTTCGGTCTGGACCATAGACCGTATATATGGTCTGGTTTGGACCAGACCGCACCATTTCTAATCCCTAGATCCAGGGTTGGGCCAACCCAGGCCCCGACCCAGCCCTCCTCCGGATCCAGGGTTAGTTTAGTGCTTATAAAATTTTTTGATTTAGGTATTTGGTCCAGTGCTATTTAAAATTCTGTCTAGTTTTATTTGATAATAGGATTTTGTGTAACTAGGAAAATGGTTCAGATGAACACATCCAAACCATTACTCTAAATTTATACTAAATTTTCTATAGCCCCAATGATTTTATTTGAAAAATAACATGAAAACCTAAAAGTGTAAAGTTTCATTAAAAAAATCTCTAAACTAAAGCACACCCTTCATTTCAAAATTCAAAAAATTTCCCAATCCCCCCAAAACAAAACAAGAACGAGGAGACGAGCAGACCCAAAATGAATTTCTCTGCCAGCCCGTCGAGCTGGTTTTCTTTCCATTCTTTTGATTAAGAAAATATTTACAAACTTGTTGAGTCATCATTTAGATTGCCTCAATTGAGTGGGGCACTAGATTCTAACCGTTCTTTCTGGTATTTTGATGAAGAAAATATTTACAAACTTGCTCAAGAGTTTAGCCTCGAGACTTTGAAGGCTATGAGATTCATTCTTTGGAGAATGCACTACTCATGTGAGGAAGATGAAGTTTCTTCTCTTGCGAAATTATTAGAGAAGCTGGGGGGAAATAGGGATGGACACATAATACAAATTGATTTGTCGGTTGATTTGTCTAGTGTTGATCTAGCCGTTTCAACAACTACCATGAAGAGAATATTTTCAGCAATGGATCATGAACATTGATTTGTGCAACAAAATGAGCGATGAATTTCTCGTTGATTACTTAGCTATTTTCTTTGAAAAAGAGGATATTATCAGTATGGATGAAGATTATATTATTGATGAATTTGCTAAATTAAAAGACATTCTTGTACAATTGGCGTTGTAATGAAAACTATATTATTATATATTTTTGTTTATGGTATCTGATATTCCATTCAAATACGGTCCAGTGCTCTCTTATGTCATGGATCCGCCGCTGTGTACGTGTAGTAGTGTAATATTTCAGGAAAATTCCAAATCGATAAAGTATGAAAGAAATTCATGGTTCATAAGAAAAAAAATATCAGCATTAACCGATAAGACACATTTTGAGGTGAAAAGGAAAAGTTATTGTAAGAATCCAAATAAGAAGTCATCTTGATTTATATTCCAAAGCGAAACCCGTGAGAATTTAGATCCAAAGCGGACAATATAATATCTAAAAAAGTTTGGAGTGTTAAATGCGATCCCGGATAGAAAAAGAAATTAAAAACAATATTGAGAGGAAAAAAGACAGACTATAAGGGGTCGTTTGGAAGTTGCGTATCTTAAATCGTTGTATTGTTATGAATCACTATGATATAAATGCATGCATTTATACAATAGATGCATTTTGAAATTACATTGTTTGGTTGTTGAGATTATAATTTATGAATTGACTGTTATAAAGTTACTTTATAATGAAATGTCATATTTGTCCTCCACTTTTAATATAAAACAAAAAGAATTATGGACATAATTGGAAAAAGTAAATGTGCTCAATTATTAAACCAACAATCACAACAATCTCAACTTTTAGTACAATCCATCATTTTTGTTGATTGTTGGTGGGACCCACACAAAACAATACATGCATTGTTTTGCAACTTGACACTTCCAAACGTTGTATTGTGGACAATGCATGTATTTAACAAATACAATGCTAACAATCGCAACTTCCAAACGACCCCTAACGTGTTAAAAACAAAGCCACACACCTTTCACACAAAGTGGTGTGTTTTTTTAATACACTGTTGTTTGTCATACAAGCAAGTTACGGTACTCTTTCCTCTGGCAACTCAAATTATACAAGGGGGATCCCCTCCCAGTGTAAGAGATAACAACACCTCGCGCTAGTTACACTGCAGAGAAGCAGTTCGTTTTACAGTACACGAATTGTTTTGAGCAATTTGATACTCGAGTTGGTGCTTCTTGACACATTGCTGCTTACCTGCCGCGTTTTGCAGCTGAATACTTCTCAGAACTTCAAAATTTTAACTAGAACACTTCCCTTTAGTTATTTCAGAGTGAGTCTCCATGAGCCGCATCTGGTACGAAGTGGCAAATCTAATCAGTGTAAACAACTTTCATCAGCAGCCGAATTTAGATGAATTGACTGGTTCACGACTCAAAAGCACAGGGAAACTTTTACATAGTAAGCTGTTAAGCCACTTCTGAAAGTAAAAAGAGCTTTGGTAGAAGAGCGTACATCAGTACAGAACCGTGAGCTAGGAGCTGTGCTTTGGTAGAATTAGGAAGGAATTAGGAAGGAATTTCTTTATCTCCTTTTACTTTCAAATCAGAACTTGCAGATTCATCATTTTAGTTCACTGAACGAAAGATAAGTGGAGCTTTTAAACGTGTTTACTTTTCTTAACATTACTCTGTTCTTTTCCTTATCCAATTCATGCGATGTCTTTCCCATGAGCAATACACTCAAATAGAGAGGAAAACCATAAAACATAACTGGAAACAAGTGAAGGAAAGAATATCAACAGATTGAGGCAAGGCTTGTTTGTGCAAAGTTGGCTAAGTACTCCACTTACCAGATACTTAAAAGGTTGCAAGAGGCGAGCCAGCATTCTTGAAGTAAGATGAGAGATCTATATGAAGGTCCTTGTACAAGTTCATAAATGGATGTGACTGACATTGCATAGCAAAGAAAAGAGACACACAGATGTCAAATTTTCTCTGAGTTTACTCAAACCATATGAACCAATAACAAGAGACAAGGCCAGAGGAGATTTCTTGTACCATAAGTTCAAGTGCTGACAGTCTATATTTTGGGTCTTTTTGAACACTGAAAAATATGCAGCAGGCAAGAATGGTAAGCATAATAGAGCTTAAACAAGTAGAAATTAGTGCCGCCGAAAAGCAGATACAAGGAAACCATAGCAAGAGTAAATATTATTCGAGTAATAAAGCTCAGGAAGAGGATTAAGAAGTTTACGTAAATGAATCAGAAATAGTAATATTGTGAAAATGGCTTATTAAAGCCAAGCAGGTTAGCATTACCATGCAGATATAAATTAGCCAAATTCTGGAGAAAACTGATCAGAAGGCAGATGAGGTGGTGGTTGCTCAACGATTGCTTCCATAAGCTCATAAACATTAACCCAGCCTTCCTCTTGCTCTGGGGGTGCATATGGAAATTGACCTGTTGCACATTCCATCAACACTAACCCCAAGCTCCAAATATCACTTTTGTAGTCATATTTTCCTCCACTAATTCTCTCAGGCTGCAACAGGAAGATGCTTATTAGCAATTTACAAGCTGCTGGCCATTGGCCATTGTAGCAAGAACAACTAGAATGACTATCACAAGAAAAATTTGGCCAAAAGTGATTTACTTACAGACATATAGTTGTAAGTGCCAACAAAAGTATTTGCCTGTCCTGATGTGCTTTGCATTATTGCACTCACACCAAAGTCAGTGATCTTGACTTCTCCTCTATGATTTATTAACAAATTGGAAGGCTTCATGTCTCTGTGGATAACATGTTTCTCATGATGAAGATACAACAAACCCTTCAGTACCTGAGTTGACAGGGACAGATCTGGAATAAGAAAATTGATAGCGCTAAAAGTATTGAAACCATAGACAACTAGAATTTGAAAGCCATCGAACCTGCTTAGTGATAGCAGCAAGGTATGGTTCAGGAATTGTTCTAACTTTTCTCAGAAAATCTGCTAGGGAACCACCATCCATGTATTCCAAGATAATGGAAACAGCACCGTTATCATAGAAAGATTGATAGCACAAAACGACGTGGGGGCATTGTGCTGATTGATTAATTTTAAGTTCCTTAGCAATTGCCTTACGTGCAGACTCCTCGATATTCATTTGTATAACCTACACATAAGCAGGGACATCAATAGTTAGCTGGAGGGGTAATAAATGGAAACATTTTGGCAAGCACATATAATGAAAAATCAGTCATTTACAAGGTCAAGAGTCATTTATTCACTCCATCTTATTTAAGAAAGAAAAAAAAAACTAACTACTCCTGATAATGACTTAGTACAAGGTCCTTGAGTCGGGAGCAATTCAACCACCTTGAGAATTAGTAGACATTCGTAGAAAGAAGATCGCTACTCTCTGTACCATCGTCCGCATCACAAATACATATTTTTGTTCAATGCACTACAGGTAGAGGTCAAACGAAATGACAGATGAAAACTTTTATAAAGTTCTACAACAATTAGTAAAGCAAAAAGGGGAGCGATTTGCAACTTGTGCTATCAATTAAGTTCAAATTTCAACTGATTTAAAAGCAACTGATTTAAAAGCCAGAAAGCAAATATCAACAAGAGCCTAGTTCTTGATTGCTAGCTAGATAATCAGCTGAAGTAGCAATTAAAAAGGCTGAAAGAAGCTTTCCGCAACTTAATGTTGCCAGTAAGTTAAGTTCATAATTAATTTGAAACCACTGTTAACTTACACTTCCCGTTCCACTGCCAGAAGTAAGCTGAAAATAGAAAGGCTGCTATGCAAACAATCAATAGGGAGATACGAACCAACCTTTAATGCGAAGAACTGGCACGTCCATTTGTGCTGCACCAACTGAACAATGCCGCCATTCCCCTTTCCGATGACCTTGATGGTGTCTATATCAGCTAGGCTCATCTGGTTGTCGGCGGGCTGAATTGGCGGCGGCTGATGAAAAATCCAGTAAAGAAGCAAACAATTAGACAAACAGTACCGCCGAGACTTTCAACCACTGAATCGGACACCATTTCCACAAAGCAGAAACATATAAGGAAAGATATCAATCGTGCGTACAGCGTCGGGCTCGGATTGAGAGACGATTCGAACCCCGTCGCGATTGACGAGCAGATCACCGTCCATGAATGTGCCACTCTGTGTTCTGGAAGCAAATCCATCAGCAGAATAAGATCGAGATTCTCCAAGTTCAGAACAGAAATCAAGCAAGCAGAAACCGACGGTTATTTGCCTCGTCGGTGTTCGGTGGAATAAAGCTGGTTTTCGGCTAGCCGAATAACCGAGTATAATTAACCGTGATTACCCGACTAACCGAACATAACCGACCAGTCATCCTTTTAATAAAACCCCAACCCTAATTATTTCTTCTTCGTACTCAAATCCTAGCCCTCCGCCATCCAAATCCCAGCCCAGCCGCCATCCAAATCCAGCCCAGCTCTGCCATTACCTTCGCCCTCCGCCATCCAAACCCCAGCCACCCTCCCCGATGACTCTGTCTCCCCTCCCCGCCTTCCTCGAAGACCAGGCACCGCGAGCCAGAGCCAAAGTCAGAGATAGCATCGTTTCTCCTCGCCGATTCCTCCCCGACATCGCCATCTCCCATCCCCGACGACCCCAGGCCTCCGCGCGTCTCCCATCGCCATCCTTCCCTTTCCATTTTCGCCTCTCCTACGCCGGGGATGTCTCCCTTCGCTCTCCTCCGTGGCCGCCGGTGTGCCGGCGCCTCTGCTTCTCCTCCACGACCGGCCGCCGTGGTGTCTAAATCTGCAATGAAGGAAGGAAGGAGAGAGAAGGAAGGAATGGTCGGGTGTTGTGGCTTGTGGGTTTGAAATGGAGGAAGGAGAGAGAAGGAAGAAAAGGCTGGTCTCTGGTGGTTCTTTTTGGAGGAAGGAAGGAGAGAGAATGGGAGAGAAGGAGGAAAAAGATAAGAATTTAGTGGTAGAGATTTTCGTTTGTTTTTTTTTAATAATTTTTAATGATTTTTTTTTAGAGAAGGGAGTGTTTTCGGGTAGGCGGCTAACCGAACCAAAAATGATAACCGACCGGTCGGTGGTCGGCTAGCCGTGGTGTCACTCACGGTCGGTGGTCGGCAATGGGAGATGGTTGCTCAGTTTAACCGATAACCAAAAAATCGATTTTCGGTTAAACCGAAACCGACCGACTGCCACCCCTGCGAGCGTGTGACACTCTCTCTCTGTCCAGCTTGTCTGGCAGAAGGAAAAGTGGGTGATTAGGGGTTTGCCACTATTTTGTATATATATGGGTCAAATTTGACATCAAATTTCCCAATTTTCCATAAGCATAGTCTCATTATGCAACCCATAAATGTGACTGCCAAATTCTCATGTAGACAAACATGATTTATGGTACCAAATGTATGGTTAATGACTTTCCAAATCAATTATTATTGAACAACATTATTTATCATATTATTATCCAATTTTTTATTAGTAAAAAATCACTTTATATCCAGTTCACTTCTATTAAGGTTCATCTGTAAGTTGAGATTCCAGCTGATGCGTTTAGGCAATACATGTAATTAGAAGAATTCGTTGTTATATTTTTATCGTAAAATGAAACACAATATTTGTATTTGAGTATAAGATAAGCCTACCAAAATCATTCATTATGGATGATTCCTAGCTAAAACCTGAGATTGCCTATGTTTGGCCCGACTTTTAGAAGTGTTTTTCAGTTTCAAAGTTGAATTAGTGTCAAACATGAAACACCTCTAAAAGCTTGGTTTAAAAATAATGAAAAGTGTTGTTGTATAGCATAAAAGCAGAAGTTTCGATTTGGAGTTTCTGCAAAAAAAATATTTTGAAAATACAAGATTATCCATATCAAATTTTAATTTTATTTCAGAACATACATTTTTATTTCATTTATTTCATTTTAAAATAAAAGAAAATTATAAAATTATATTATTTAATTAAAAATAAATCTAATAATATTCATTTTGACTAATTTTATTGTTTATAATTTTTATTCATATTTTTATATTATAAATTCTTTTTATTCATCTTACATAAACTCTTGTATTAAAAAAAGCACTTGCATTTCTAATAGTCTTTCAACCAAACACTCAATTATTTTTTCTGAAGAATACTTCTCTAAAAGCTACAACCAAAAGTTACTTCTGCATACGGCAGAACCAAACTAGTCAATTGTCAATCTCTCATTTTTCTCCTTTATTTTTTGAGAGACCATCAAATCATTCAAAGTATTTTTATTAACAATACTGTAATTTTTTTTTTATTCTTTTGACATTTTTTGATTTTTAGCTTTGGATTCGGAGTATTCGACTAAGCCTTAATGGCTTTTTAAGTCCATTCGATAGAGCTTAGTTGTCCTACAGTATTGGCGCTTGTGTGTTTTTGTTTGTTTTTGTAGGGACACGTAGTTTTCTCTCGACCATACAAGCATCCATCCATTATGCTTCTCAATAGTGAAAGTTGGCACGGGCCCACCAAAGTGCTTCATTTGTGGAACCAGCTTTGTGTTGCCAAACAATTGTTGGCGGTTCTGCATGCACCTGGCAATAGGAATGGCTGCTCTGTTTATGCTATCAGCAAGGATGATCTATCCTCCGACTTCTTTGGTTTTGGCGCGTGTTGTGTACCTGCTTGTATCCTTTATTGCATTTTTTAAGATACTGACAGTGCTGCCCATTTAGTGGCTAAAAGGCTTCTTTTATCGACAGATTGATTAGATATCAACCGCCACATTTAATTATTTCATTCTCTTCATATTTATAAGTATATTGTACACCTACCTAACCTACCTATGTCTTTGTACACCTATGCTAAAATAAAAATACATAAATTATTTAAATAAACATAACGATGTCTAAATTCTCATCAAACATGTTTTTTCCTAGATTCTATAAAATCCCTAATTAAGGAAATTGCAAACAAATACTCGACTTCGGAAGGTCTTATTAGAGCGCGAGAGTGATTCGAGAACCGTAGAAATAGCAGCCAGCCAGCAACACCAATAGAGACTTAGGTCACACAGTTCGTGGGGGAGAGGCCGGCGCTCCCGCTTTGGAGCGGGAAAACGCGAATTGGAAGGGACTCGCGGAAAATTCACGAATTATTTTCTATAGGAGCGCGAATTTTGTTGGGTGATTCGCGAATTTATTTTCATAGAGACGGGTTATAGAGAAATCGTAGATGGTGTCCGGTTGGATTGATGGATGAAGCCGAAAAGAAAGGGAATTTGTTGATTGGGGAAATTTTGAACGATATTTTGTTGGCGATTACCAACATCGAGTCCGAGTCAGAGTTCCAATACAAGCTAACTTCTGGGAAAATCAGTCATGCTTATCTGTGTTTTGAAGACTGGAAGGCTATAGGAAGAAGCTGTGGGATTTGTCAATGAGGTGGGAGTTAGGTCACACAGTTCGTGGGGGAGAGGCCGGCGCTCCCGCTTTGGAGCGGGAAAACGCGAATTGGAAGGGACTCGCGGAAAATTCACGAATTATTTTCTATAGGAGCGCGAATTTTGTTGGGTGATTCGCGAATTTATTTTCATAGAGACGGGTTATAGAGAAATCGTAGATGGTGTCCGGTTGGATTGATGGATGAAGCCGAAAAGAAAGGGAATTTGTTGATTGGGGAAATTTTGAACGATATTTTGTTGGCGATTACCAACATCGAGTCCGAGTCAGAGTTCCAATACAAGCTAACTTCTGGGAAAATCAGTCATGCTTATCTGTGTTTTGAAGACTGGAAGGCTATAGGAAGAAGCTGTGGGATTTGTCAATGAGGTGGGAGGTTGTGAAGAAAATTAGAAGAGGCAGGCGACTGGGAAGAAGCCGGAGGAGAGTAGGCGAGCGGTTACATGCAAAGCTAAGAGCATCATATATGAAGGACTCGGCAACAGATCTGGGCAAGCATCGATTGGGAAAGAGCAAGGCCGGAGGAAGAGACTCGATTGTCTGGCCTTTGATGGAGAAATTGAAGGACGGCCGCTGAGGAGGAATGGCGGCAGGTTGAAGCTTATGATTCGACCGGATGTTTTGCTGTGAGAAGGGAAATGAGGAGAGAGAAAGGTCTCCGCAAGATTAATTATGTGGCAGTCGCACTATCTTTGGGCTTAATTACTTGAGCAGTGGGCTTGTAAATTCTCGGTCCATACATCCAATTTGTCCCAATCAGAAGCATCACGGGCTAAAAAAGTGACCTCCTTCTCGAGATACACACGCAATAACCTTGCCAAATCCTTGATATTGTCATTGTTTATACATTTTTATCATAAGAAAGTAATATATTTTATTCAGATATATTAGAAAATAATTAATAATAATATAATATTAACGCTCTGTTCACGCTCTCAATATCGAGTTCTTTTGAAATTAACGCTCTGACGCTCTCGCTCCCGCTCACGCTCTCGCTCTCGCTCCACGTTCTGGTTACCTAAGGTGGGAGGTTGTGAAGAAAATTAGAAGAGGCAGGCGACTGGGAAGAAGCCGGAGGAGAGTAGGCGAGCGGTTACATGCAAAGCTAAGAGCATCATATATGAAGGACTCGGCAACAGATCTGGGCAAGCATCGATTGGGAAAGAGCAAGGCCGGAGGAAGAGACTCGATTGTCTGGCCTTTGATGGAGAAATTGAAGGACGGCCGCTGAGGAGGAATGGCGGCAGGTTGAAGCTTATGATTCGACCGGATGTTTTGCTGTGAGAAGGGAAATGAGGAGAGAGAAAGGTCTCCGCAAGATTAATTATGTGGCAGTCGCACTATCTTTGGGCTTAATTACTTGAGCAGTGGGCTTGTAAATTCTCGGTCCATACATCCAATTTGTCCCAATCAGAAGCATCACGGGCTAAAAAAGTGACCTCCTTCTCGAGATACACACGCAATAACCTTGCCAAATCCTTGATATTGTCATTGTTTATACATTTTTATCATAAGAAAGTAATATATTTTATTCAGATATATTAGAAAATAATTAATAATAATATAATATTAACGCTCTGTTCACGCTCTCAATATCGAGTTCTTTTGAAATTAACGCTCTGACGCTCTCGCTCCCGCTCACGCTCTCGCTCTCGCTCCACGTTCTGGTTACCTAAGGTGGGAGGTTGTGAAGAAAATTAGAAGAGGCAGGCGACTGGGAAGAAGCCGGAGGAGAGTAGGCGAGCGGTTACATGCAAAGCTAAGAGCATCATATATGAAGGACTCGGCAACAGATCTGGGCAAGCATCGATTGGGAAAGAGCAAGGCCGGAGGAAGAGACTCGATTGTCTGGCCTTTGATGGAGAAATTGAAGGACGGCCGCTGAGGAGGAATGGCGGCAGGTTGAAGCTTATGATTCGACCGGATGTTTTGCTGTGAGAAGGGAAATGAGGAGAGAGAAAGGTCTCCGCAAGATTAATTATGTGGCAGTCGCACTATCTTTGGGCTTAATTACTTGAGCAGTGGGCTTGTAAATTCTCGGTCCATACATCCAATTTGTCCCAATCAGAAGCATCACGGGCTAAAAAAGTGACCTCCTTCTCGAGATACACACGCAATAACCTTGCCAAATCCTTGATATTGTCATTGTTTATACATTTTTATCATAAGAAAGTAATATATTTTATTCAGATATATTAGAAAATAATTAATAATAATATAATATTAACGCTCTGTTCACGCTCTCAATATCGAGTTCTTTTGAAATTAACGCTCTGACGCTCTCGCTCCCGCTCACGCTCCCGCTCTCGCTCCACGTTCTGGTTACCTAAGGTGGGAGGTTGTGAAGAAAATTAGAAGAGGTAGGCGACTGGGAAGAAGCCGGAGGAGAGTAGGCGAGCGGTTACATGCAAAGCTAAGAGCATCATATATGAAGGACTCGGCAACAGATCTGGGCAAGCATCGATTGGGAA